ATAAGATAGAGTGAACTATCACATGCATGCCCACACATTATGAGAGAGAGTAAAATTGTGTATCAAAACAATGCCCTTCAGAATGTTACTCTCCCTTGGGAAGAGATCTTTCCTTATTCAGTCAAGGAGATCTTGCTAAGTTCAAGGAATGTTCACCTGAACAGATTGGCGGTTCCTGCTACATGTTAATCTTTTTTGTGTCTAATTGTAAATTTTTAAACTTTTGCCCTGGCCACAGCAGGAAGATTGAATGAGAGGAAGACGACAATATGGTGAGAGGAGGGGCTTGATTCCCTTCTCACAGCAGTTTCTACATCTTCCCCTTATTAATGTCTAGGACCCGTCTGTGATCTTGTAAACAGTGAGAAAACCTCTGTGGAGGATCAAAATTCACTTTCCTCAAGAACAGCCGCTCCGAAGGACCTGTGGAGATTCGAAGAGGCCTCAGAAATGAGCGAAATCCTGTCAGAAACGGCAGGGCGGTCAAAAAACAAGAACAAGGAGCCTCTCTTTGAAGCACAGCTTGTGTCTTGCGGTTGTTCCCGAACTCAGGCCTGAAGCGGTGGAAGATGGGGGCAGGCAGGGACACAGGGAGGGAAGCCGCGGATTAGGAAAATGAAGATTTGCACTGATTTTTATTTAGTTAGTTCAATTTATACAGCTGCCCTTCTCAAATTCGTGACTGGGCGGCTAATAACGGTTTGAAACACCAAGTGGCAGCCTGCAACAATGAGAATAATCCTGAAGAAAAAGAAATATCAAAAGAAATCAAGTTCCAAATTGGAGAAAAAGCTTAAACTCATGGACGTTCTAGAAATTTTACCTCAAAAAAGGCACTGTGGTGGAGAAATTAACAGCGGGAGAATTGGGTCTCGTGTGACTAGAGAAAAGGTGGAATTTCAAAATGAAGGAAGGCAAATAGTGAAAACTGAATATAAAGCTCAAATACCATGAGGAAAAAAAAATCTGTTTTACTTAGGGGTTGAGTAGGGAATTTGCCTCAAGAAATACGAGTAGGAAGCTTAAGACTTTTGGTAAATTTAAGGCAACCAGATAAACAGAGAAAAAGAATGTACAAATTTACTTCTAGCCAAAAGAACTGAAGACTCAACTAGTTTGAAGAGATTCTTCTGTATTTGGAGGTGCAATGCAAGAAAAAAAGAGATTTTGCTACAGTGAGTGAAACAAAGAATTTAAATGGAGGGGGAAAAGTAGCTAAAAGCCCATTGTAAAAGAATGGAGTTCACGTCTCTGTTCTTTTCAGCCCATTTCTTTATTCTCCAGCGTGAC